ATAAAGGATTGAGCGGTATATCTTCTTGGCTTTGCAGATCACAACTACCTAGCTCTGCAGTCGTACAGCCAAAGTAGTCATAGGCAATACTTCATGAATTTATGTGCTGCTTTCCAATAAAACATTAAGAAAGAACAGACCAAAGGCTATAATTTATCAGCTGTGATTAAAGGGTGAAGCTTTGATTTATAATTTGAAAAAGAAATAGATAGGTCATAAAGATTTGTCTAGAAAATATGTTTATATGGTACTAATTCTATGTAATTATATTAATAACATGGATAGCTGTGTACTTCAGAACATGGAAAACTATATTCTCCTTTCCTCACTCCAGAATGCTTTTTTTTTTCTTAAATTGATTTTGTTTTTGAAACTTTTCACTTTTTGCAATTTTCATGCAGTATAATTTGATGGTAATTAGGTATCCTCCCCTATCCATACCACCCCTTACTGCCCCACACAATTATATATATATATATATATGACCTATAGAGTCTAATTTATGTCCCCTCATGTACTTAAATGTATCAATATCCACTGGAGCCTGGTTATCCTACGAAGAATCTCATCCTTGAAAGAGACTGTGTCTCCTTCTCCCGGCAGTAATCAGTTGCCAAAGTTCCTTAGGCTGGGTTGGGGTCTCTCATCCATTTCTCCACATCTATGCTGGCATTTTGTCTGGTTTCAGCTTTCATGGGACTTGTGCATGTTGTTACCATTGCTTTGAGTTCATGTGAGTAACTGGAAAACTCTGTTTCCTTGTGGTCATCCATCACCTTTGGCTCTTACAATCTTTCTGACCCTCTTCTGCAATGATCTCTGAATCTTGGGAGGCAGAAGTTTGATATAGGTGCCAGATTCAGGGATAAGCACTCTGCAGCCCCTTTCTCTCTGCACATTGACCAGTTGTGGATTTTTGTGTTAATCACCATTTGCTGCATAAGGAAACTTTTCTGATGAGAGCTGAGAATGCATTAATCGAGATGGGTACAGCAATAAGTCATTAAGAGTCAGTTTAATACAATAACTATTTAGTAAAAAACTAGTATTAGGCTCTCCCCTATGTCTTATGACCTGTCTAGATTTAGCTTTCTAAGCCTGATATCAGTGTCAGGTATGGGCTCCATCTTGTGAAGTGGATCTTAAATCCCATTAGAGAGTGCTTGGTTATTCCCATGGTGTTCAAGTCACTATTGCACCAGTGGGCGTATCTTGGCAGGCCAGTTGTTGTAATTCGTGGGATTCGCAGGTGAGTAAGGTTGGTGATTATTCTTCCTTCCAGATGCATGCATATGAACTGTGAACGCTAGCCAGTAGTTATGAGGCTCTGAAGTCAACACAGAATACAGTGTTTTTTAAATTCATTATCATTTGAATTAAATTTTGAAACATCACATAAAAAGTTATCAGATTCACTATTGCTTTTGTTTTGAGACAAGGGCTCATTATGCATACCTGCCTGGTCTAGAACATGCCATGTAGATCAGTCTGGCCTTGAACTCACACAGATCCTCCTGCCTCTACCCCTGCCACCACCACCAAGTGCTGGGAATAAATATGTGTACCACCACACCTGGCTTGCTTTATTATGGCATTTTCATACATATTTTGTTCATGTTCAAGTCCTCACTGTCTTCCTGCCCTTCTTTTGCTCCCCTCTTGCTGGTCCTGTCCCTCCTCCCCAATAGCCCCCCTTCTTATGTTTTCATGTCACATTTGTTTTATTCCCCTTTCTTTCTGCTTTCTGTTTTTTCCTTTCATTTCCCTGGAACTTGCTATGTAGACCAGGCTGGCCTTGAACTCACATAGATCTGCCTACCTCTGCCTCCTGAGTACTGGGATTAAAGGCATGCGCCACCATGCCTGGCTTAGCAGTTTATATTTCTTTTTTAAAAATATTTTGTTTATTATATAATTCTCACAGGATATAAATATGGTATTCCTTACAGTTAGAGGCAAAAGTCTGAGTGAACTTCTTGTGTTTGTCCTCCCCTCATGTGTGGCTGAAGGAAATTTTACTGTTTTAGTTGCATTTTGCTTGTTTTTGCACAGAGGGAGTGTGGAATGCCATCTATTTTATCTGAACTTGCTCCTTTAAGATAAGGAACTATATAAACTTTGCTCTGTGTTTCATTGTATACATCAGTCAGGCCCCAAAACACCATATAGCTATCAACTACTGTGTGAACAGTCTAATAGGGGTATATGAACTTATTTTGATTTTCTCCATAGCAACTAAACTGTCTGTTTTATTTAGGCTCAGGAGCCTTAGGGTGAGGATATGGAATAAATTGTAAATAACATTAAAAAGAATAGTTTGGCAAAGAGCACTCTAGCTTCAGAGAGCAAAATTCAAGTCAATGTTAAGTAATTTTTTGCTTCATAAAATATAGTACTTAAAAAGTGACAATGACAAGTAAAATCAAATCACATGGTCTTGAAGTTCACACTTTCAATATAGTAAAAATTCTAAGATTGAAGCATTTTGGCGATTGTGAGTTGTTTCCAAAATAGATCAAGAACAAAATTAATTATTCTTATAATTTGTTATCAAAGTTTTACTAGAAATTTCACTCAACAGTAAGTAATCCTAAACTACAGGAAGAAAATTAGATAATGGTAAGTGAGAGATAGCATAGACCAGTTTGTTTTGTTGAGGAAACTACACTTCCCATAGTTCATTCCTTCCCACTCATGCATGGGAGAGAGACTAGGGTGCGTCCAATACAATTTATAGGACAATAATTCAGACCATTAGTTGCAGAGATAAATGCATTTGCTATGAGGCCCTAGTGCTTCCAAGGACTAGCTATGTAATCTAGGAAAAATTACTTTCCTACTGTGTACCTCATTGATCTCATTTTTCAAATGGAGATGATGATAGCTTTCTCAGAAAGTTGCTGTATGTGGACACTAATGGAGAAGCAGTTCCTGAGGGGTTGTAGATGTTCAATAAAGAGAAATGCCTTTCTGTTCTCATTGTCACAACCTTCGGTATCTCTTCTCTGGTCCATTACCTCAGCTTCCATGTATCATTTCACCTTTGTCACATGACTGCTCAGAACCTCTCAGTGACTGTCTCACACTCACAGGATAACCGTGAAATTCTGTAGCATGGAAAGTACATTCATGCCTGGAGGCCTGCCTTTGCAATTTGTACTAGTTATCTGTTATTTAAGAAGTCATCAGCCCAAGGTTAGAGGATTAGACAAACACACATTTATTTCACACTTTTTTGGTTCAGAAGTCCAGGCATCGATCTTTTATTTCTAGGTTTCATAAAGGTGCCTTCAAGATGCTGACAGTGTTCTCATCTGAGCTTCGCCTAGTGGTGAGACACATCTTACTTCTGAGCTAGGTGTGGTTAGGGTAAATATTCAGATCTTTTCAATACTGCTGAACTGAGGTTCTTAGTTCATTGCAGGATGCTAATGAGAGGCCATGTTCCGTTTCTTGCCATGGAGCCTTTTCCACAGGATAGCTCATAACATGGCATCTTGCTGCATCACAGTCCACAAGGGAGAGGGCCCGATAACAAGATAAAATTTCAAAACCTATGCAATGTAAATATATGTGTCCTATCATTTTTGTTCCATGCTGTTGGTTAGAATCCAGTCACAGGTCTATTCTTATTTAGGGGGTATCACATAAGGGAGTGATCATCAGAACATGGGCATCATGGGAGTCATCTTAGATAGAGTCTGTCTGCCACAGGCTCCTAGATGGCATGCTGGTGGTTGATTGCCAGCTCCACTTTCTCTCTAAGCCCCTTTATTAACATACAAAAATGGTGACAATGGTTTTCTATCACATGATGCTTGAAAGAGGCAAGCTATTTTGCAAAGCATTCTATATCCATCCAACTCCTAACTGTTTCAAGGTTTACTTAAGTCTCATCTCTTCTAGGAGCACTTGACCAAATTTGGAACCCTACTTGAATTTTTAACTTCTTATAACAGAAACTGTTTGCCTCACTGGTAGCTCATATGCTATTATGTACTTATGTTTCATTAAGCAATCATGCATAATGAGTATCATACCCATATGATAAAACTTTAAGCAACTTAAGCACAAGAACTTTTCCTCTACAAGCAAAAAAAACAGCATTGATTGAATGCTTAGGATGTGTCAGGCCCTCTGGTAAGCATGTTATTATTAGTCAATTATCCTCATTCTTAGAAGACTCATTTAATCACAAATCATGTTATGATTTTTTTTCATGCATGAGAGCTCTAGCTGGAAGAGGTAATTTGTCCAATGTCACACACTAGTCAGAGGTATCTGACTGTAGGAGTGGAGCCCATATGCTACCTATTTGTAGGGCCTAAGGTGGTATGATGCACAAAGCAGTTGGTTTTAGCTTTTGACAAGTGGAAGTGACTTTGTGTACTGAGAGAAGACTGCATCAGAGAAGTTTGGAAACGTTCACTTTCCTACTTATAATCAAGATGGAGCTGTAGACAGGCAGGTGTAGCTCAGCATCATCACCTGTTTGTTGATTTCTGTTGCTGTTGGAAAATCACTGGGGAGCCTTCCTTTGAGATAATAATTTAAGGTCAGAATCCCTGTCCTAAGTCATGGTACTCAGGAGCTTATTGTGATCTGGTTCTTATTTCTCATGGTTCCAATGGTCACGAGGGACTGTATTTCCACTATTTCCTCTCTGAGTTCTACTAGGTTCTCCTTTTAGAGCATTCATCCCTAAATCTTAAGCCAACTTACCTACGTCACAGTACTAAGGCCATAATTATGTTCCAGGGCCTCACAGTGTGAATTATCTGTGAGAATTTACTTCCAGTTCTAGGGACAGGACCCTTGGGAAAACCAGGCACTGGGCCAGAAAGACAGTGGCCAAAGAGTGGCCTGGTTACTCTTAACCTAAACCTTGACCTTCAGCAAAGTAAAGGAGCAAGTTATTCAGGAAATAGTAGATATTTCAGCAGATGTTCCTTGGACTCCATCTTCCATGCAGCTTGAATTTTATCTTATTTATTTTTCAGAATGAGGCTGCGATGAAATGGTCTGCCTTTTATGAAGAACAGTCAAAGCTTGCCAAAAAGTACTCACTACAAGAAATTCAGGATCTTGTCATTAAGCGTCAGCTGCAGGCTCTTCAGGAGAGTGGGGCTTCAGCTCTCTCACCAGACAAGAACAAACAGGTATGCTGGTGAATGTTTCACTCCTGATCGTTGGAATGCTTGAGAAGTAGTAAACACTGATATCCCCACTGGATGACTCCTTTATCTGGAAAAGATAGTAATGGCAACAGTAGAAAGTACTCTGCGCTTAAATGTGGTGAACATATAATTTAAGATCCAAACTAGATTCTCTTTGAGAGTGAAAGAAGGCACTGGGGTTCTGCTGCACAGGAGTGAGCAGAAATATAATATTCATTCTGTCACCTGTGGTCTGCACCCACGAAGGCAGTCTAGGAGTCTTCTAGAGAAATTTCCTTTTTTACATCACTAAATGCTGTGGCTGGCTCATGTCAGCCTCAGTGTCAGTGAAGTCTCCAAGTCTCCTACATAAATATTGCTGTAAAGTGGCACTTAAAAAAAACCCCTATTCTGGGGCTGGAGAGATGGCTCAGAGGTTAATAGCACTGGCTGCCCTTGCAGAGGACCTGGGTTCGATTCCCAGCACCCACATGGCGGCTAACAACTGTCTGAAACTCCAGTTTCAGGGGAATCTGACGCCCTCTTCTGACCTCTGTGGGCATTGCATGACACAGGTGTGCTTACATACATGCAGACAATACACTCATACACACAAAAATAAAAAATAATAAATAAAATTTTAGAAAAGACCCTATCTTGA